GAGGGTAGTGAGAATGGTACAGCAATGAAGGAATGAAAACCCAAAATCCCTGTAAATGTTCATTAATACTAATAAAATGTAATAATAAAAAAAAAAAAAAGGAACAGACATAAGCATGATGCTCACTTACTTATCTAGCACAACTACCTATCAGCAATCTGAATACTGGCTACAGTTATAAAAGGCGTAAACAGTGATAGCTACCTCGTGTTAGATCGGGTTACTTTGGCATTCTCAGTATTCATGGAAAGTGCCTTCCACTGCGCTGTTTTGGCCATTTCATCTGATATGTTAACAACTGAGGGATCAACACTGAGGAACAAACACACTTCTTGGTTAGTATGCAGTACTTGCAAAAGCATTAATACTGTCTTTCATATTATTTATGGAATACTTGCTTGCATTAATTTAAAACAGAAACAAAACCAAACCAAACAACCCTTTTGGCATGCACTTACCAGCAAAGTATCGGAACTATGACATTCTTTTATAAAGGCTACACACAGAACTTCCTAACAAAAATGAGGAGTTATTTCAATTAATAAGATTTATTCGTACATAGGTCACGGGACCTCAATTCAGAATTCAGTATGGGGCTTCACAACATTCATTAATCTAGAAGTAATCAGCAAAGATGATTTCTTGGCTATTAAAATACATTGCTGAAATAACATAAAGGAATAGAATATAACACACTTATTAAAAAATACAATCTAAACACAACTAGAAAACTTTTACAACAAGCACAAATGCCAACCTTGTTATATAAATACCCAAAGTATGTAAGATAAAAGAAAGATAATAGTTAAAACTAACTTACAACCTGATTGTTGCTCACACTTTTAAAAATCTTTAAAAATATTAATTTTTTTTAAAAACTAATTTTTTAAAAAAAAACCAGCAGGTAACAGGTACTTTAAAATGGAAAACAAAGCCCTTAAAAAAATACACCTCTAAAACCTCAACAGCTAACACGTAACCACAGAACAGTGCTTTGAGCTGGTATTCACATTTTTAGTGTGATCAAAGTCAAAACATTTTAAGTGACAAAGGTAACAATTTCTCTATTTCTAGGAAATATCACCAAAATTACATGGCGAGCTCTGGTGGCCTACAGGCAAGAAGCTGCACTGCAATCCCAGATGCTCTGCTGGAGAATGAGGGACAATCTCCTCCTGTACCAGTCAGATCTGATTTGATGGTACAGACAAAAGAAATAATAATAAAAAAAAATTAAAAAAAAATTGCTTTAAGATCCCAAATCCAGTAATAAATGATGACAGGCATAAAATAGTTAAATTTTGCACTCAAAGTTGTCAGTTACAGGTAATACACTGGTACAAAGTTAATACTGTAAAAAGATTTGCAGGCAGTTACTTCACCAAGAGAAAAAATAAATAGTTCATGCAAACAAGCGACAAATGCAAATGTCCAAAGACATGATGGTAAGGGAGCAGGGTGACGGTGGCTGGGCTAGCAATGACTCTGTCACCAAGGGGGGTTAAGTTTAAATCAGAATATTGCTTAAAACAGAAGATTTCAAAAGCGTAGTGCAGTCAGAGTCTAAAGAAATGTCGGTCTGACCAGATACTTCGCCCAGTCTTTTTAAAATGTACACAAAAGTTGGAAGTCTAAGTTCACAAATGTCACAGCCATCCAACCTGAAACTATTCTCATTCTGAATAAATGTTTATTTGCTTGGCTGCCAACTTCTAATAATTGAAGAAGAGAAATTCCTGAGTGTCCTCTTCTAAGTGAAGAACTTTCTGTTAATAGTAATACAGATTTTTCTTTAATATTTACCTCATTTTTCTCACAATACAACCAGATGGAAAAACTATGCCTAAATTAAATAAGGGGCTTCTCATATTCTACAGGGCTTTACAGTTTCCAATTAGAGAAAGGTGCCCTGTGTCTCTGGTGGTTCAAATCCACCAGGGGCTTCATGGGAGAAAGTTGAACAATCTCCTCCCATTACGATTTATAAGCCTAGAAAACAGGATTGAGGGTTGCAACAAGTGGGAACTGACTTGGCAGCAAGGAGTGAGTGTTAAAATTATAAAAGCCTTTAGACTAAATTTATACACTAAAGTGTATACATTCACTTGATTTTCATAACAAGTAATCATAATTAAAATTCTTGGAAATGACCAATTTCCTGGAATTCATAATGTTAAGCTGTTCCGTAAAGCAGGACTGATAACTTTTTTCCTCTCAATTTATTTATTATAATTTTTTATGTGTGTACTGAGGATCTGACTGTTCCAGGAGGCGACTGCCCCTCCTTCTCTAGCAGAGCATCTGGTGGATTCAAACCGTGTACTTCTGGGTTGCTGTGCAGCTTCTTGCCACTAGGCCACCAGAGCTTCCTAGGACTGATAACTATTTTTTTTAAAAAAAGATATACATTACACATGGAAGAATTCACACAGGAGAGAGACCTTATAAATACAAGGAATGTGAGAAACTTCCCTTGCTCAGATACCCTTACTAGACATGAATGGATTCACAAAAAGGAGATGTTAAAAGCATAAATAATGTAGAGAGCTCTGGTGGCCTAGTGGCAAGAAGCTGCACTGCAATCCCAGAGGTATGCTGTTTGAGACCACCAGAAGCTCTGCTGGAGGAGGAGGGGCAATCTCCTCCTGTACCAGTTAGATCTGATTTGATGGTACACAAAAAATAAGAAAATACATTAAAAAAATTAAAAAATGTAAATAATGTATGTGAAAAATCCTTTATTTGGTTATCAGCCCTCAGTGGAGATTATGTAGAAAATATATAATTATTATATAAAATTATTAATAATTATATATTACTATATAATAAATATATACATATAATCTATAATTATTATATATTCTATAGAATATATAATTCTATATATAATAATATATAGAATATAATTATATATATCTCACTTTGTAGAAAAACTACGAATATAAGAAATGTGGGAATGTGCTCACTCACTCCTCAGCCCTCAATGAGCATGTGGGAACTCACATTCGATGTGAGGACAGATGAAAGAGGAAGGGATGTGGGGACCCGTTCACGTCTTCCTGATCACTTCACGGAGCAGAACTCCCATCCGAAGGCCTTTATATGTGTACTGAATGTGGGGAGTCCTTCAGTGTAACCTTACGCTGGATCTCTCTTTGCACGACTGGGGTAAATGGGCCGCTGCACTGTTACTGCAGAGTATGACTGTCAATGTGTATTGCTTTCTTAGTTCCAACTTAAAATTTCCCCCTTTGAAAGTCATTGTTCTTCTCAATAAAACTGCAGACAAATAGTAAAAAAGATAAACAGTAAAAGTGCAGGTAACCAATTTGATTTTTTTTTTTAAATATCACAGTCTAGAGTCCACTTAAATTCCTCAATGTCCAAGTGTAATCAATCACACAGAGAAAGTGATAAAAGGAGGGCGCAGAAATAAGTGGCAAATAATCTCAGAAAATTGATGAGAGTCACCACAGCCATCAGGGTGGTCACTGTCCTCTTCCGAGTAACGCTAACCGAAGAAGTTCGCAGAACTCGCTCGACGATCCCTGACTGAGCCCAGTGAAGGAGACTCTATTAGATGTATTACGATCTCTCCACTTAGCATGGCAGTGTTGATGGCGCAACGGGTAGGTGCCTGGCTGCTCTTGGAAAGGTCAGTGATTCCAACCAGCCAGCCATCCTACAGCAGAAGAGACCTGGCAAGCTGCTTCCGTAAAGGTCTCCACTCAGGAAACCCTATCGGTCAGCACTACTCTATCACGCTGTGTCCCTGTGAGTTGAAACTGACTCAACAGCACACAAAGTATTTGGTTTGCCATTTAAAGCACAGGCAACCTTTTGAGATATTTAACGCAAGCCTGGTTGCAAACTACAGCAACAAAGCGAGTAGGGCACTGAAGCAAACCAGGCAAATATTTTCGTTTCCAAATGTCACGAATGTTGATTTATGCTGTAGTATATTCAAGAGCCCAGGGAGCACAGTGTGATACTTGCTGGGCTGGTCACTCAAAGGTCAGCAGTTTGAATTCACCTGTTGCTTCATGGGAGAAAGATAAAGACAGTCTGCACTCAGTAAGACTTATTTAAAGAATGTGGCAGAGAGACGTGATGTGAGCACATGGCCCTGACAGACTTGCCCAGCACAGACCTGCAATCTGTAAGAACACAGTATCTGTGCGGTACAGTAAAGCAAGGTATGTCTGTACATAAAGAGTGCAGGCAGGTTCCAAACGTTGATGCAGGATAATACCAATGACATCAATGGACAGCAAAACATACAGGAGAGAAATTAACTTGAGGAAATCCGTTAATGGTGTGGTGGGGGCACAGCTCAATGGTGATGAATTTTAGAAAACATAATGAATGGAAATGACTGTATAAGACACAATGTGAATGAAGGATAGTGTGAAACACAATATATATGAGCTTTGTAAGCAAACAAATAGAAAACAAAAATTTTTTAAATTATAAATATAAGTCTGAAGGGAAAAAAAAATTAACCCGTATGTTCAAGTCCAAGTGTGACCTCTAAGAAAATCATAATGAGTAGTTAAAGGGTGAAATAATTGAACAGCAATACACACTGCTCATCACCTGGTCAGGAAAGGAAACTATAAGCACTCTAAAGCCAACTGTACTAGGAATAGATGATTCAAAATGGAATATAAGAGGGATGCACATATAACGAAGGGGATTTTGTCTTTTTAAAACTCTACAGAAGTTTATCCAATCCCTTGCTCTAATTCTTAAATGATAGTAAATATAAAATGAATTTATATTAAACATAAACTACTAAAATTGATAAATAAGAAATGTGCAATGTGTTTTTCATGTTCCATTGAGTCAGAATCAACTCACAGCTGACCCTCCAGCAGGTTTTCAGAGGCTGTAAACTGCACAGGAGAAGAACACCTCGCTTTCTCCCATGGGGCAGCTGGTGGATTTGAACCTTATGTCTTTGAGTTGGCAGCACAACTCCTTACAAGTACGCAGCCATAGCTCATGAATTATAAATGGATATATAATGATAATAGTGATAAACAAGAATAATAACAATAATATAATAAACCTACTTTTCCACACTCAAAAGAAAAAAAAAATCACACGCCTAGGAACTAAGACTGTTCCAGAGCCTCTGAGCATAGTCACATCGTGTAAAGTTACTACAAAATAAAAGCTTATTTTCTAACACATGCTAACCTCAGTTCCAGTGGAGAGCAAAAAGGAAAAAGGTAGAATGCTTAGAGAACGGGAACACTCTGAAGCTTGTGTATTGATCTTAAGCTTCATTAGGGTAGATGGGAGAAAGGTAGACACTCAGGCTTGACACAAAGTTTACATGCCTCCTCCAATCCCCCCTTCTCTCTACTCCTGCCTCTAATGTGGTTGTGGCTTACCGGTAGTTACAGTGTTGCAATAGCAAAGATATGCAGTTCAAATCCACAAGCTGCTTGCAGGATGGGCAATCTCCTCACATGTGATTAACTGCCTCTGAAAACTCGCTGGAGGGTCAGCTATGGGTCAGTTCTGATTTGATGATACACAACTACAACAACAACGTGGATGAACAGAGAGCTCTGGGCTATTGGTGAGAGGCTACAGTTCAATCCTTTAAATCTACAGCTGCTCCACAGGAGAAGGATGGGCAGTCTCCCCTCATGCGATTTACTGCCTCTGAAAACCTGCTGGAGGATCAGCTATGAGTTGGTTCTGACTTCCCCAGTAAACAACAACAACAACAACTTCAACAACAGTGTGGGTGAGGTATGGGGATGACACTTCCTTCCAAACTGTATGAAGTTAATAAATATGACAGATATCAAACACAGCATCTACTTAAGAAGAGGAGTAGTCTCTAAATACACATTACACGGCTAATTTTCAAGCACTTGCCGTAGACATGTATTTGAAAACACAAAACCGCATCTCACCTATAATTGAGGGCCTTCACTGGAATTTGCAAGAGGCTTCCGCCTTCAAGCGGGAGGTGCACAGTATCACCCTCATCGGCTTGCAACATCCGCTCGGCTTCCTTGAGAGAACATCCGTGGAGTGGTGGTTATTCCCAGGACATAAAAACGGCTTCAAGCATCCAAGACATGAACTACAAATAATACTTAAAGACAGTATCTCTGCCCGTTTCTAAAATACAGGCATCTCCATTCAAGGCAGTATTCGAACTAGACAAGTCAAATTTTGGTTACAAAGTAAACATACAATGATTAATTTTTAACATCCCTACTTAAAACCGCCACAGCATTTAAAAGGGTCTCTCTTTTCTGTCGTTAATGCTTAAACAGTATTCTGAATGGGAAAATTGAACGGGGCATTAAAATCAGTCCCACCATCTCTACCACATACTGTAATACCTACACTTCCTTCCTATCGAGGGACGCACCATGTGCAGAAGCAAAAGATAAAACCATAAATTTAGAATAAAAGAATGCTTAACATCAGTGTACAAATCAAATGATACAACACTGCAGGTCAAAATTAAAGCTGCATTTTTTGTAAGAAGATATGAAAGTCTTTTTCATATATACCTAACTAAATGGGTATTAAAAATAAACTTACACTGAAAGCATATTTTTAGATAAAAATTATTTGATAAACGAAGTTAAAAGATTAAAGTTCAATACTTCCAATTGCTGGGGAGTATATAGGAAAAAAATGAAAAATTCCCTTTTTTATTCTAACGGTGGAAAATTTTTCTGATTCTAACTCAGGATCTGTGACTCTAATTCTGTATGACACAGTGCAGGACACAGGCCCTTGGGACAGCACCCCCACAGGACACGCTATAGCCTGTAGGACCCAGGAGAGCTGCAGAGCTGATTCTCACACGCCTCGTTTGCCCCAGGAGGTTTTTGAAGCTCTCCAGCCTTCCAGAAGACAGCCTCACCTTATTCCACAGCACGACCTTTAGCTCTGAACTGCCCCACCACATAACCCAACTGCCCCAATTGTTGTTACTGATGTTGTCTACCATCGAGTCAAAATCAGCTCACAGCAGACTCTCCAGAAGGTTTTCAGAGGTGGGCGGTCACACAGGAGGAGACTGCCCAACTTGTTCCCATGAAGCAGCGAGCAGATTTGAACTGTGTGCCTTTGGGTTGGCAGCGTAGCTCCGTACCACGAGGCTATCTGAGCTCCCACTGCACCAGTAAGACTCCTAACTACATACGTGACATGTAACTTGTAAAAAGTATTCTCGCATCAGGCACAAGACGAGCCAGATGGTGAAATAACTAAAAGCCTGAACTGGGTACAGATTCCTCAGCCTCTTTCTTCCTAGTTTCTTGATTTGTAAAATGGGCCAAAGAGGAGCCATGTTTCACAACAAGGGGTTTTGTGGCGATTTACAGAGCTTTTATGTAACACTTTAGGCTTAATCAGTGAATGGTATAAATGTACCGTTCTGGGGTTTTACCTCCTTCTCTTTTTTCTTTTTGTCGTCTTCTTTCTTCTTCTTACTTTCCGGCATGAGATCATCCAGCCAGCTAAGTTCCCTCTTAGTGAAACACAAGTCCATCAGCTTCCGTACAAATACTAATGCAAGAACCTTTAAGAAGAGGCAAATGAAAGATTAGCAACATCTCAAACTATTATGGATTAAAAACAGTAGGATTCAGTCTTACAAGTAAAGACAGTTCATAGGATTTGGATATAAATGATTTCATATACCATTTCACATATGTTGTTGTTGTTGTTATGTGCCATCGAGTCGTTTCCGACTCATAGCGACCCTATGCACAACAGCTCTAAACCCTGCTCTATCCTGCG